ATTATTATTATTATTATTATTATTTTTGGAGAGGTTTTTGCTATAGGGTGCGTGTGCTCGCCAGACAGACAGACAGAGAAAGAGAGACAGAAAGCGAGAAATCACCCCCCGGGGGGATGGCCACGCTGCAATCCCTTCTCCTCCATTCTCCTCTCGGGATCTTGGGCGTGCACGCACACATGTCCGGCGTGAGTTTTAAGCCACCGGGTCCGGGACTCGAACCATGGTTGACTATGAGGGAGTCCAGCAACATAGCCATTATGCTAACTGCTGGTCCCTCATTATTATTATTTTAACTTGATCGAAGAGAGAGACACAGAAGGGGAGAGAGAGAAGGAAAATGAGAAAGCAAAGTGCCCGGTTCAGGACTCAAACCACAGTCGGCCATGTGGGAATCCAGCGCCTCAATAACCATGTCACTTTCTGGCCCTTATTATTTTGTTTTAAATTTGCTATAGGGCACACGCACTCATCAGAGAGAGACAGAGAGAGAGGGGGGAAAGTGAGAAAGCAAACTGCCAGGCCCAGGACCAGAACTGTGGTTGGCCAGGTGGGAGTCCAGTACTTTAACCACCATACCACCTGCTGATCCCTATGTTTATTCCAATATAACTTACCACCTCCCATAGTGCTGAGTTATTTATGTAATATTTTTATTGCTTATTGTCTGCCTTCCCCCAGCACAGGGAGTTTGTCCTTTAGAAGTACCCCAGCCCCTGGAACAGTGCCTGGCCTGTAGTAGTTGCTCAGTAAACAAGAGCTGTTATGAATAGGTCCTTCCATGTTTGCCCTGACTTCGGGATTTCCCTTAACTAACTTTCCTTTTTATTTTTGGCAATAGCACTTTCTACTAGTTTTTTAAGAGACAGGGTTTCACTATGTTGCCCAAGTTGACCTCCATCTCCCAGTCTCCTGTCTCACCTTCTCCAGGAGCATCCCTACAGCCCCCCAGGGCTCATTGCCTTTTTTTTTTTTTAAGAATTATTTTATTTATATCTATCTATCTATCTATCTATCTATCAATCATCTATCTATTTATTTATTTAATTTATAATTTGACCATTTATTTAATTTATAATTTGACCAGAGAAGGACAGAGTGAGAGAGAGGGTGGGAAAGTGAGAAAGCAAGCTGCCAGGTCTGGGACTAGAACCGCAGTCAGCCATGTGGGAGTCCAGTGCCCCCCAGCCACCATGCCACCTGCCAGCCCAGCTTATTGCCTTTTAATATACTGTACAGTTTACTTATTCAGGATTTTTTCTTAAACATTTATTCATTTATCTATTTGTTTGTTGTAGTTTTCTTTTTTCAAATCGTTTTTTTTTTTTTTTTTTTGAGAGGTTTTTGCTATAGGGCGCGTGCGCTGGCCAGAAAGACAGAGAGAGACAGAAAGACAGAAAGCGAGAAATCACCCCCCAGGGGGGATGGCCACGCCGCAATCCCTTCTCCATTCTTCTCTCGGGATCTTGGGCACGCACGCACATGCGCCCGGCGTAAGTTTAAGCCACCGGGTCCGGGACTCGAACCGTCCAGCGACGTAGCTGTTAAGCCATTTGCTGGTCCCAGCTATAGGCCTTCTTCATCTACGCATCGCCGACTCCCGAACAGCGGCTGGCACATAGTAGGTAGTTAACGCAGTGTTCTGTGAACGCGTCGGACCGGGCGCAGCGCGGAAGACGCTGGCGGCTGAGTGGGGCGTCGCGGCGGCGCTCAGCGGGCGATCCTCCCGTGGAGCTCCCGCCTGGCCACCAA